TAATTCGAGCATGAAATGACCAAGTAAACACGTCACACCAGTCTTCAGACTGTCTATGTTTGTGCTGTAATTCGTGCATGAAATGACCAAATAAACACGTCACTGCAGTCTTCAGACTGTCTATTTTTGTGCTGTAATTCGTGCATGAAATGACCAAGTAAACACGTCACTGCAGTCTTCAAATTGTCTATGTTTGTGCTGTAATTCGTGCATGAAATGACCAAGTAAACACGTCACTGCAGTCTTCAAATTGTCTATGTTTGTGGTGTAATTCGTGCATGAAATGACCAAGTAAACACGTCACTGCAGTCTTCAAATTGTCTAAGTTTGTTTGGAAATACGTGCCTCATATGACTGAGTAAACACATCATTAAAATATACAGACTTTCCATGTTTGTGCTGAAGTATGTGCCTTATTTAAATTCCCGAACAATTACTTCACTCCAATCTTCAAATTGTCAAAGTTTGTGAAGAAATACGTGCCTCATATGACTGAATATACACGTCATTATATCCTACAGATTGTGTATGTGCCTTAAGAGCTTACACAAACACGTCACTACTATCTTCAAATTGTCTGTTTTTTTTCTCTATTACATGTATGAAATATCCAAATGAATATGAGACTAGAATCTTCAGTTTGCCTATATTTGTTTAGACATAAGTGTCTGAAACACTCGAGTAAACACGTCACTGTAATGTTCAGACTGTCTATGTTTCTGCTGGAATACGAGTCTGAAATGAACAGAATGAAACAGAACATAGAGAGGCGCCCACCGTAGCTCAGAAATCCAAAGATTTCTTTTATAATCAGCCCCAAAAGCATCAAATGCCCAGAACAAGTACCTCCGACAACAAATCTTTGTAAAAAACACAGTGTAATGCTAATTGTCAGTGAAAATGTGCAGGTGTCCATGTTTCTAAATGGATGTTTTATTATACCACCTGGGAGTAGGTGTTGTGAGAAGTATATATATCTGGGAGAGGCATACAACAAGGTGAGTTGTACAAGCTGACTAAAATGTCACTCTGAACACTATCCGTCATGTTGGCTATTATAAATTATACAAGAATATTTTACTACGGCTCATTTCCAAAAACTTTGGCCTGGCCAGGTGGTTAGGGCGCTCGACTCGCAATCTGAGGGTTGCGGGTTCGAATCCCCGTCACACTAAACATGCTCGCTCTTTCAGCTGTGGGGGCGTTATAATGTGCCGGTCAATCCCACTATTCGTTGGTAAAAGAGTAGCCCAAGAGTTGGCGGTGGGTGGTGAGGATTAGCTGCCTTCATTCTATTCTTACACTGCTAAATTAGGGACGGCTAGCGCAGATAGCCCTTGTGTAGCTTTGAGCGAAATTAAAAAAAAAATCCAAGAACTTTAGTGAAGCATAGTAAAAACATCGATACAAGGCCAGCTCACTTCCAATAACTCTAGTGAGGCATTGTAGAGACATTCATTCAAGACCAGCTCGCTTCCAATAACTAGTGAAGCATAGTAGAGACATTGATACAAGATCACACTTCCAAATATGCAGTTCATGACTGCTGAAAATTGTTTTCCTGCTCTGTCAAATAAGTATATCCAAAATACAATTATTTCAATTCTAAAAAACCTTACGGGTATAAAGAGTATGAAGTCATGATAACAAACATTATGTCACTAACTATCCCCGTACTTAACAGTCAGGTAGTAATATTTTTGTAAAGATTTTATCACCTGGCCTTAAAGCTAGTATCACAAACATTATAAAGGGGAATGTCTTTGTTTGTATATACACATTCACAGTAGTCACATTCTATTCTCCTGTGCACGAATTGTAACTGCTTAAACCAGAAGAACTCAACAAGTACCATGAAAGAAGCGTACACTACACTGATAGTCTTGCGTATATGAGCATATCATGAATTTAATACTTGATTTGTCAGTCACTAATTAGATCAAAGTTAAGATTTAGCAATAACTTTTCATAAAACAAATAGTAAGAAGAAACTAAAAACCAATCTTTCTCCGTGCGTATGATTTTAATAACAAGGAAGACGAAACTGATAGTTATTTTAATAATTGGAACGGTTTTTCTCTCTGTTCCATCTGAACTCGAATACTGCAATTAATTTATCAGGAACTTCTCCAAATTGGAGAACTTTGGGGTTGACTAACCAAACCAACATCACTAGCTGTCACATTGTTGTAACTTCTTGCCGTCGTTTAACTCCCTTTCAAAATACTTTGGACAAAATTTTCTCAGGCATACTTTTTTAAGGCTTAATTTTATGCTCTTGTTTGACATAATGGCCTAAATACTGTTACGACAGCGGTAGTCACGTGAC